AAAAAAAAAAAGGTTTATTTAAAACTACTTATATAGTCGATTTTTGCTGTAAAAAATGAGAATAGATTAAAATGAGAATAAAATGAGAATAAGTCTAAGGAAGGGAGGTTTTTCATTATATTTTTATTTTCTAATCGGGGGAGTAGTGGAAGAGGTATTTGTTATTCGATGCACAAAACGGAACGTTTTTGAGTTTGTGTGGAGGAATGTGTGTGTAGAGTTGTTTGTTGTTGTTGTTGTTGTTGTCATTCTCGGAGATGGTGGTGGTTATGAGATTCAGAGTTGCGCGTACATTCTCCTTTTTTTTAATTTTAATTTTTATTTTTTGTTGCTCACATTTATGCCGTTAAATGACATTCTTATTCAGTTGTATTGTTCGATGTTCATTTTCTTTCCTCTGTCATATTCTGTTTTTATCCAGAATTTTTTTTTCTTTTTTTTTCTACATTGGTTAGGATTTTAATGCAGTATAATTTTTCAGAGGTTAAAAGAAAACTGAACGAGAGATAGAGGGAAAAAAGTTAGTGCAGAAAATTTAATGCAAAAGTGGACTTGGTCGTGGACGTTGAATCCAGGTTTTTCTATGAAGCATTGAAATATTGCACACTTAACAGGTTCATTGAGCAAGGTTCGTTTTAACGCCTCAATTTTTTGAAATTTTTTACATTTCCCTTTTTACCGTCTTCACTAAATTTTAAAACTTATTTTGCCTTATCGTTTTTTTTTTTTTTATTGGTAATGATCTGGAGCGTTAGTTTGTTAGACCGTTGTTTCGGACAAAATAAATAGCATATTTTCCCACAGTCGGGATGTAGTTAATTATTAACTATAACATCTTTAGTTGTTTTATTAAGTGAGTGTTTTTTATTATACGTTAAGAGAATCATTCGTTCATTGCTGCTTACAGACTACAATGTTCTCGCTGCTAGTAATTTGTAATTCTTGTTTGTTTTTGGTCTTTTTTATTTGCGCTAGGACGAGTGTTTTTTAGCCGTAAAACACTTCTTCTTTTAAGTATGGGTTCAGTTCGCAAAAATGTACTCTATTTACAGGTGTCGAAAACTTTAAGATAAGTTCAATCTACTGAAGCACTCTTACATGACAGTAAGTAACTTGAAAAATGATTAGGAACTGGACTGTGTGAATTTAAAGATATATATTGAGGATTATTAAAAAACCTGCAGTTGTCGACATTGAAAGGAAAAAGATGGATATGGATTTAATATGAGTGCCATTTAGAAATTCGATGCTGTTATCGGTTTTCTAGTCAAAATCCAAAAGTTTGGTACTTTGCTAGGGTTTTTTTTGAGTAACTTTGGAGGCCTTTTGAAAATAGTCATGAAATTTTTCTTAAAAATCGTGACTGGTACGTTTAAATCTCGACATTATTTCGTTGCTGGCGGAAACATCAGTTAGACAGAGAAATCTGAAACTTGATGTGCTGGAGTGAAGATTATGTGTGTAGTTGGTAAAATTGATTCAGTTAACACTCATATCTCTTTAATAAAAAAATTTTTGACCTATTTCAAGGAACTGCATAATAGGGCATCAACTAAAAATTATTTGGCGAAGAATTGGATGATGTACATCTGTTGTGGAGTTATGTTTGCTGAAGAGTTGTGGTTTTAAATCCACTGTTTTGTTTAAAACTCTTGAGTTATCTGTCAAATTTGGGTGTCTTTTTCAGCAAAATTTCAGTTTCTCATACATCTAAGATTCTTTTTTCCTTGTTTACGTTAAGAGTTCCCACGACTTTAGTCCTGTTAAAAAATGTCTTCTCCCTACTTTTTTAGATTCTTGATCTTTTTCTTCGTGGGATTCTGAGAATTTGATTTGTTTTTGAAGGATATGTACGTCTCATAGTAAGCCCTACCTAGATCAGCAGAGTTTTGAACTGAGTTCTTCTTGTGGTAGTCGTCACAGGCATGTCCAACTTAATTTCTTAGTAAATTACGTACTTCAAGACGCATGAAGGTGTTTGCTTTTTCCTAATAATTATTCTTGCTCGTTTTTTTCTTTAAAAATCTGTTTAGCATTTTCTTTCTGCGCTGCTTGTATAGAGGATACGTTTTTTCTTTATATATATTTTCCCTCACATATTTTGAGTTGTCGCTTTTAAATGTGAAGTTAATATAGAGGTTGAGATTTTTGCAAGGAAAAGATCATTGGTTTAACAGCAGAGAACTAAAAAAAAAAC